GGGGGGGGCCCCCCCTTTTAAACCGGGGGGGGGTGGGGGGGGGGTTTTCCCCCAAAAAAAAAGGGGGGCCTTTGGTTTTTAACCCGGGGGGGGGGGGGGGAGGTGCGTGTCAAAGCCGAGACCTTGTGTGAGCAGAATAGGGTGGAACCACAGCAGTTCAACCGCAACCTATTTCCCCAGGACGCGACACTGTTAAGAAAACAGCAGTAGTCACGTGTGTTGTGCTTATTGCGTGGAGGTAAAACGCGATGAGGTCGATTGTAGTTTCGTGATGTAGCACCAGGCAAAGGGGTTTGCACAAATGAACGTAGCGTACGAAGTATCTCCCGCCCCAACTCACACCCCACCCCTGTGCCCAGTGCTCTCGATCGATCTCACGCACTCACGTCTTCTGCCTTCTTGTGCGCCTCCCGCTTCCTCGCTGCCGCTCTTCTTTCTGTTTTCGCCATTATTTTCGCTACAACACCCTGAAGGCGCGTTTTTCCAGCCGCCGGTGGAGACCTGGAGCGGTTCCGACACGACCGACGTCTCCACGTCCGCGGGCAGCGACCACCAGCACCACCGGACCGTCGTACCCGAGCATCTTCCCTCCAACACGGTAAGCGTGGCAGAAAGCAGCAGCAGCAGCAGCAGCAGCAGCAGCAGCAGCAGCGTGTTCCTTTGCCTAGTTTCGTGAGGGAGGTCGCACACGGGGGAGGATCGATCCATACTGTAGGGCGATAGCAGTAGCAGCGGCATTTGCAGTAGCAGCAAACGGTGTGCTTCCTTTGCCTAGTTTCGGGAGGGAGGTGGCACACGGGGGAGGATGAATCCACAGGTTGGCCGATCCATCGCCTCTTGTTTGGCCCTCGGGGCAGGAAAACAACGTGCCCCCCCCCCTCTGCATCCTTCCCTTGGGGGAGGGGGATGCATGCCCCAGACCCGTATTATTGCCGTTGGTGCCCCCTGTCACAGAGGGTACACGCCTTAAGACTGCGGTCGGTGCGTACTGGTTTTTTGGGGTTCTCCGCTGTCGGCCATCTTTTTTTTTTCGTGTCTAGGACTCTTGTTAGGTGCGCTGACGCTCTCATCTCCCCCTACGGATGTAAGGTGACGTTGCTCACAGTCTCTTCTCTCCCCCGTTGCTTACGCTCCCCCGTGGCTGGTGGCGCGTTACGTGTTTTGGATCCCTTTTTTTTCATGTCGTCAAGAACAAGGTCGACATGTCCCCGGGGGGCGTTTTGACTAGCGACAACACGCATAATCAAGAGGACGTTTCCATCGCCAAGCACCGGTGAGCGTCGTTCCCTTCTAGTTTCGCTCGACAGCAGTGAAGATTGATTTCTCGTGTGGTGGTTGGCTACCTTGCACCCAAAGGGGGGTGCCGTATGCGACGCAACATAAAACACCCCCTGGATCGATTTTTCAAAACTCGATTTCTCAACGGCAGAAAGAGGCACAGCGCCGGAAATGGCGGCGTTGAATCCGCCTGGTCGAGAGCTCTCCGAAAACGTATCGTTTCGTTTATGAATCCTCTTCGTCGTCGAGTAATCGACTTTGAAAATCGGTCCAGGGGGCGTGTTGTCTTGTGTCGTATACGGTAGGTGTTTTTTCGTGCCAAGAGTGGCGGCGAAGGATGACACGACGAAAGGCGGCGCGTCCTTGCCGACAGGACCAACACGATCGGAGAATATTGACGATGTCCTTCAAGTCCATTGTCTTATTGTCCTTGTTTTTCCCTGCCGTGCAAACTCGCGCTCTCACCCTTTCTCCCGGTCCGATTTGATTGGTTGATATCAATGATTCACTGAACCCCCCCCCCCTTTTTTTTTTCAGGGGCATGATGGAGCCAATCGTCCCCATTTCCGACGCGGCAATGGCCAGCGAGGTCAGCCGTCACGTCGAGGCCGACAGCGCCACCGCCTGTGCTGCCGCGGGCTGCGCCGGCGGCGCAAGCGCGAGCGCCGGCGGCGCCGGCGACGGCGGCCACTCGCTCGACATCACCTCGGGCCTCTGGCTCGACCACCCGCAGGAGGCCCACGAGGCCGTCGCGTCGCCCCTGATGTACGGCCTCGGCCTGTCCGCTCCCGCCAACACCGGGGGCGCCGGCGGCGGGGGCGGGGCGGGGGGGCTCGGCGGGGGCCTGTCTCTGCCTTCCCTCGACGAGGAGGAGGTCCTGGGGTTCTTGGCCTGCGCGGAGGAGAACAGCAGGCAGGCCGCCGCCGCCGCCGCCGGGGGCGACGCGGATGAGAACGATTTGCTAGTCTGAATCCAACTGAGTTTTTTGGCCACCGAGGACTAGTCCTCACCGAAGATAAATGGATGGGAGAAAAATGCGTTTTGAGGCTTGGCCGCGGTGACTCCGAAGATGTGGAGGCGTTTGAGAAGTTATTTTGGTTGCTCGTGGACCGAATTAGTCGTCTCGTCTCGCTTGCGACCGGTGCTACATACGGGGGGGTGTTTAGGGTTGTATGCGATGCAAGTATGGTGGGGCTCCGTGGTCGCATGCATGACCGGCGGAAGGTAGGGGGGGAGGGGGGGGGCTAGATATTGTTTCCAGGTTTCTTTTTTCGTGAGTCAAGAAAAAAACATGAACAATTATTTTTTCTTGGAGGTTCAAGGCCGTCCCAACACGCTTGGCCTTTTTTTTTCCTTCGCCTGTGAATTTCCTCAAATATTTTCGGCGCAACGGCGGCGGTGGTGGCGATAATGAAACACACTCGAGAGGAAGCATGGTTCTCTGCTGAATTTTAGTCCACGCGGGCGAGTCTGAGTGTAGAAGGAGTGGCAGTAGTGTTCGCGTTGATGGGGATTAATGTTTTCATCAATTTTTATTATTTGCGTGTTGCCATGCATCTTCACATCATCAAGACTAAGTTTTAAGAGTTCGTGAGTACGTAGTTCACATTCAAGTACATATGTTCGAGGTTGTATCACCAACCTACGTAGACTACTTTGGTGCGTGGGGTCACGCCGGCGTTGGGGTTTCCTAGAGAGATGGATTTTTTTTTTTTTGGTTTGTTGAAATGTCGCTGCAAGTGTATTTTGTCTCTCTGCTTGGGCGGTGATACCAACCAAGGTTTTCGGTATGTTTGTGTTGCTGTTGTGTCGTCATATGAACGTTCTGTCCGTTGCTCAGGTCTTGTTGGCCATACTTGTTTCTCTGCGACACCGGTAGCTTCCTAGAGAGATGGAATTTTTTTTTTTTTTGGTTTGTTGAAATGTAACTGCAAGTGTATTTTGTCTCTCTGCTTGGGCGGTGATACCAACCAAGGTTTTCGGTATGTTTGTTTTGCTGTTGTGTCGTCATATGAACGTTCTGTCCGTTGCTCAGGTCTTGTTGGCCATACTTGTTTCTCTGCGATACCAGTAGCAGGATCGATGCATGGACGGGCGGGTGCGTGGTTTGCATGTGCGTTAATTCAGAAAAATGGAGTGAGTGGCCACTACTCAACTCAGATCTTAACGGGCAAGTGACGAAAAAAATCAAATTGGGGGATTTTTGTACAGGTCGGCGAGAAGGCCAGTCGTTGTTGTAGTTGATGTTGCGGTATCTTAAAAGCATTGCAGACCCAGCCAAGCGCAAGAATGGCACAAAAAAGAAATTGTTTCGTGGTTGTCTTGGTGCTAGAGTGTGAGTCCCTCCGCGGAGAGAAGAAAATAATGCAGTCGGTGATTTTCTTTGTTTTCAGGCGTTTTTTTGCTTCCAATGTCCCGGCGTGTTGTTCGTCGGCGTGTTGGAAAGCTGTTGACTGTTTGTGTTGTTTGTGTTTTGTGTGATTGATTGCTGTCGGCTTGTTGGCCAAAACCGTCGTCATCGCGGTGTACTACAACTGCTGCTGCTGCTGCCGTGTTGTTTTGCTTGGTCGAAGGGGGGAGGGTGAAAAAAGCCAGGAGAAGATAATTTCGACGGGGGCCCGTGGATGTGGGTTGGCCGACGGGGTGCCCTGTGTACGTACTTTGGGGAATCCTGGGCTGGGGAGAGAGGAGAGGTGGGTATTGATGGTCGTACGGTTCTTCTCTTTTTTTCGCTGACGGCCCAGATGTCTTGTTTATCCCCCTGTGGAGTCTTTCTTTTCTTGCATGAGAATAGTGAGTGGGGTGCCCACGGGCGGTGGATTGTGGTTCTAGCGGGGGTGGCAGTCGTTGTTGTTTGCGAAAGACACGCGACGTGCCCCGTCATAGAGAACAGACTTATCCTGTAGTTGTGTACGGTTGGGGTGCCTGAGAAAGGTCTAACACGTTATATTGCGCACACGTTTTCGTCGCGTGTTGCATGCATACGAGAAGAGGGCTTTCTTGAAGTACACAAATCAGCTAGGATTACTTACGTTGCAGCAGCTGCCAGCTGCCGCAGCAGCAGCAGCTTCGACGTCTTACACACAAAAAAAAAGAGGGTGTGTGGTAAAATAATTATTGCAACGTGTGCATACGCGCAAGCAAGCGCCTGTCTGTCTACCTGTTTTGTCTTGTCTTGCCCGAACGGAGGGCTGCTGCTCGATTTTTATTGATTTACTGGATTTGGTATGGCTAGGGTTACCGTTGCTTGTTGAGAAATGACACATACGCCCTCACTTTCTTTTGAAGTGCTTTTTTGGGGGGGGGTGCTAAGAAGCGCTTGTTGGCTTGGCCTACGTTCTCGCGCCCTTTGTTTTTGCTTGGTGTGTGTGTGTATACGATCTATTTGCTTGCATCGATCGCGCTAGCCGGCTGACCAAGTCCCAGTGCCGCAAAAATCGGAAACTGATTCTGGAGGCCGTGACCCGGGGCACCGTGAAGAAGGCGGAGGCTGGAGTATTGCGAGGTGTGTTCGTGTGCAGGGATGATGGCAGTGGCAGCACCATGTGTGGCGATGTACAGCGCGGTCCGGCCGCTCAATCTATGCTATGTAGTACCTGCCGTAGAGGAAGGCGGAAGAGTTGACCGAGAAGCAACACAAGAGACAGGACGCGGACATAAAGAAAGTTCGGTCGAAAAATGATGTTTTTAGCATAGGACTTTTATCTGGGTGACAGCATGCTCGGCGAGCGGGGGGGGGGGGGGGGGGGGGGGGCCCAAAGCGGGAAAAACATCTTTTTTTTTTTTTTTTTTTTTTGAAAACCCCCCCCCTAAAAAAAAAAAACACTTTCCCCCCAACTGCCCCCGGGGGAATTCTCCCCTTTAAAAAAAAAAAAAGGCCACCCCGGAATTTTTGGGGGAAATGTAAAATCTTTTTTTGGAAGGGGGGAGGGGCTCTTTTGGGAAAAAAAGCAGTCTCCCCCCAGGCCCGGA